CAAGCAGATATTGTCATTCTTCCAAGTGTTAACAGTGATTAACAGTTAACAAGCCAATGCAGCTCGGCAAGCACGTCATTCCTGCTGCTGTCCTGCTGAAGCACCCTGGCCTCCATCTCATTGGCATCTGTAGCTAGGAACTGAAAAAGGACTAAAACACTGAAACCATATAGCTGCCGTCCACATATTATTTTAGGGGTCATGGTGCTTGTCACTTTTATCTGACACCATAAAGGTTAGACGTAAGATAAATTGGGTCTGGTTTTATACTTAGGAAGGCAGACAGGTCAGATATGTTTGGGCCAGCCAATTTATGTCGACAAAGTCTTTTGACTCTTGTGTCAATAAACATGTCAATAGCTCAATTAAATTTGGTACTGTTTGTGAGGCAAATTCATCAGGAAAACATCAGTGTACTCTAGAGGACTGACATCACAACTGAAAATAATTCTGAAAAGTTTAATCTATTAGCTCACAGAGTCCTGCAACAGCAGGTGATTTTTATAGCTGTTTCTATGACAGGAAAAAGTAAATATTATTTTTCAAGTGCCTAGTTCTCCTCATTACTATTTTATTTTCATGTGGCGAAATCTGAATCAAACTTCTCTAAAGAAGTTAATAACTCTTAATTCTCTTTCCTAATCTGAAACACTTTTGTCTTGAAATAATTATTAAAAAACATTCTTCATAAGTTACATTATACAACAATGAAGCTTAACATGGATATTTTCACATGTAACAACATGAAACTAAACCATGCAAAATGATTGTTTTCAGGCTTATACTTAGCATATAAGCTCCCTTAAAGAAAGTACAGAAAAAAAATACATTTCAACAAGTGTTTTTATTTATTTATTTTTATTATTATTATTAATTTGATTGTGTCTTCTTTTTTTTTTTTTTTTTTTTTTTTTCCACATACTCAGTAATCTGTCTGGGATAGATTCCTACACACATAGTGTAGGAATAATCTTATTTATCAGTCATTCAAATATTTGCTCTTAAATAAACTTCTATAGCAGAAAGAATTCACAGGTTTTCAGGAATATAAGTTTTTCTTATCTCTGAGGAAAAGCAGTCTATCTGAAGACTTAGTTGCTTTTGCCAAATCTGTCAGTTGGTCTGGCAGTAGACATAATGTCTCTCTCCAAAGTTTTCCTTACTTACTTACCTCTTTAAATCATGACAATTATAATACTACTATCTAACATGTCTCCGTAAGAGTATCCCAAACACTATGATTTAGATAACATTATGTCCTGCAAAAATAAACAAGCAAACAACAACAACAACAACAAAGCTACAACAACTACAATAAAAAACATGTTGAATTAAATAATCTAAAAAATAATCTAAAAACTTAAATTAGTTACCATCTATCAACTGGATGGACGCATCAGTGATATCAGTAATACACAGTCTACTCTGTGACTAAACCTTAAATAATCTAGCCTGAATTTTCTGGCTAAATCCAGAAATTACCACCTCACTGCAACTTTCAATTTTCAACATTTACTCAGTTGCTATTGATCCCTGCACATTGTGTTACAGATTTTTACCCATTTCCATTATTCCAGCCCTTGAGGTTACATTTCTCTTCCTATACATGTTGCATTCTCATCAACTTTCTACCATGTGCAAATTTTATGTTCTATTTTCTGTATTGTAATTGTAATATGCAGTATTATGCCATACACATACGCATTCTTAACTAATTCTACTAATTCATGTGTCACTGTTCTAGCAAGTGGCATTTCTAAACACATGGTCTCTCAAAAGTTAGATGAATACTAGACGTCCTTCCTGTAGTTGTCTTAAAACATCTGCTAAACAAAAACAGAACTGTTTCAATGCTTAGAAGCTGGTAACCTTCAGCATAGAACTGCATCATCTGCAACATGATCAAGTTTGAGACTACAGATAACAAATCCTTTGCAGTCAAGAATATTTCCCAAATAAATTTGATAAGTTCATTTTTTTCTGATGATCTCAACTTGTGAGAGCAAAGCAACTCAGAGAGAAATCGTCAAAGAGATGAAGAGTAGTCAATATAAAAGGACTGTGGTGAACAAATTTTCTATTTGTTCTTTCTTTATTGAAAAAGTATAATATTATGTGCTTTATCACTACCTCTTCATTTGCATTCATCTTACTTGAGTGTCAGTGGCAATCACCATGATTTCTAGTCCCAGTCAATACAGTAATTGCCAACATAAATTTACACAAATTAGATTTTTATGATATTTATTCTTTCTAAAACACATACATTGATATAGGAGATCCAGAGTAAGACATTTCACATTGGAAAGTGATGTCAATGCATCTTCAACAGGGAAGTGGAGGTGCTCTATCCTGAAGGAAGAATGAACTGATATATTTTCCAGATGACCTTCAGTCTAGTAGCCAAAGAATATGCAATAATCCTCTGTTTAATAGACAAACACAGACAAACTATCTCATAAGTAAGAAAGGAAGAGGATGAAAAATTTGAGTCCCTCTAGGAATTCAAATGGAAGTTTGGCTGCAAGCGTTAATATACTCCACCCAGAAAAAAAATGACAATGCAGGCTGAGATCTGAATCCTGCTGAAGATAAACCCTGCAAGGTATGCCTGAATTTGGGAGCTGATGGAAGTTTCTGTAGAGAAGATCTCATACAAGTAAATTCTCTTCTGGGAGCTCCTGACAAGATCTCTCTGAGTGATGAGTAACAGATATCCAAGGCCTGGAAGTTGCACCTTCTTAGAACAGTGAGTCAGCTTAATAAGGCACAGAAAGATCATCATGATATAGTGTGAACAGAATAAGTTAGTTTTCTTTTAATTTCTTTGTCCACATCTTTTATAAACACTAGTAACTTTTCTATCTGAGATGGTGTGAATATTAAGAATTTCTTTTCTATTGGTCTTTACCTGTTTTGACTTAAGTGTGGCCTAAAATATCCTAATAACAATAAAATATCACTTACCTAAAAGAGAGTGGATCTATAAACCAAGGAGCTGGACATTGCTTCATGCACTTTTGTTCCCCAAAATATCTTCGAGATGATTCAGAGGTCATCAGAGTAGGTCCACTGTTTAGTTGCATGGGCCTGGTAGTAAGGAAGAGAGAGTGAAGGAGAGTCTTCCAGTAAAATTAGCAACACTGAAGTTTTTCTGGACTGTCTGAAATTACTGGTGTGATATAAGAACATTAAGGATCGCAGGGAGCATGTTACAAGCCGATTCACTGTGTTTTTTGCTTGTCTTTCCTACTGTGAAGGCTGTATATTTCAATTTCCATTGAGCCATTTGCAAAACATTTGTCACAGCATGCTCTGCACTTGAAATCCATAGGAATTGTATATGCTGTGTATAACATCATACCTCTGTAATCAGTTGGTATTTTGGATACTTTTCATTTCTCTGTTCAGTGCTTACATTTGCCAGTTTGCCCCCCCCATGCTGTAATGACCCCTTTTATTTCTAAATTTTTACCTCTAGTGCACTTATCCATTTTCTTGTTCAGTTACAGCTCTCTCTGGCTACGTCTATGGTTTGGCTGTAGATTAAATCCAGATTCCGCTGGAATAAGAACACTCCCACTACACGATGCAGAGTGCTGATAAACTTACACTTGAGCCAGTGAAGTAAGTTTATAGTACTCAAAAAAATGTTGATGAGCTAACATTGTGCCAGCTAACTTTATGCTAAGTCAGGACTGTCTGACCATGCCAGATCTCCCACAGCTAGTGAACCTCCTACAGATAGGCTGCAAACCTTCTCACAGCCCCTTCTTGCTCTGTTTCTGCCTGCTTAACCACAGAATCATTGTCCTTGGAAGCAGCTTTGCATCCTTTATATGCAGGCACAAGGCCCTGTATTTCCCTTTATCTTTGGTTTCCATCTGTAGTCACGGACCTAGCTGTGGACCTGCCATGCATTGTGTCTCTACATTGGCCATTGCCACATAATTCAATATTAGCTACAATACCATGGTTATCATCACTGAGACAGGGACAGGATTTCAGCCAGATCAAGGCCATGTGTGCCTTATTTGCATTATCCCAGATCTCATGGTGTTTATCTCAAGCCAGAATGAAGGTGGGTAGATCTAAAACAGCTGCTAAGGCTCTAGGGGGAGACTCGTACAGGTCTTCTATTGCCAGCATGTGCAGAGGTTCACTATGCTGCATTGTGGCTGTACATTAAGCTTCCTTTGTCTGTGCAGGACCATGGCATGGCCTTGAGCCCTGCCCTGCTGTTTAACTGTTAGCACTCTCCAGTTTTGGCCTGAGCCAGGTTAACCTTTCCCACAGGCTTGGAAAGTAGCATCGGCCAGGGACTGCTGCACAGGAACCCCAGATAAGGCAATTCTGTTTTTTCACCTGTAGAGGAGGGGAAATGTTAACCATTCAAACCCTGTGTGCTCAGGGAGAGGCCCTAGTTTTGTTCTTTGTATTGGTATTGGTGCAACTAAAATAAACAGCTTTGCTTGACTAAGGTGAGGGCTCTGGAGAAATGTTAATGTGGAATGGGGATAATAATGACAGAATAGACAGTGGGAAGACTGTGAAAAACTTGTCAACTGCCTCTCTGAGATCTAGACAGATGCAGATGTCTGTGAGTTTGTGTTTCCTGTTTGTTGCCCTCTTTGAGGAACAGAGGGAGCACTTGAGGACAAACTGCATCATTTTTGAAGGCCTTAGAGACCTGTTTCTATTTTCTTATCATTTTCTAAGCATACAGCCAGCTTCTAGGCATTTTGCCAATTAAATAGTCTAGTGTTACTGTCAATTCTGTCCCCACTATTCTGTCACAAACTGGGGACTGGCCATATGCTACCATATGCTTCCCCCTCTCCAAATAAGCTTTCTTGATCTAGAACCCCATGTCTCCCACATGAGGACGCTTTGATGTCTTCCTACACTTGTTTCATCCCAGGAAGTTGTGAATAACAACCCTATTCTTGTTTACTTACACACAGAAAAGAAAACCTCACTGGCATATATAGCTGAAATTGCACAGTAGACCATATTATAGATAAATAGATAGACACACACATGAACAAGAATAATAATGAATTCTCCTGCACAAAAAGATTATACAGCTGCACTTCAGCTTGAGATAGGTAGAAAGTATACCCAGATGTTTCTTGGGATTATAGGCTTCTCCATGGAGGTGAATTTCTTCTTCCCATACATTCAGCATTTCGGAACATTCTGTGTTGTATAGGGAGGGCATATGCTGCTGGTAAAATATTTCTATACCCCTGTATATTTCTATAACCCTGCATACCCCTGCATGGGTGACTTATAGCCATCATGAAGAGTGGATACCGAAAGTAACCGTAGAATCATCTGTGTCTGGTAGTGCCCATGATTTATCATGGATTTTTTGAAGTCCTTGTTCTCCATGGACTAGACCAATTACTGGAGGAGTCAGCAGAGAGCCTGCTAGATCCAACAGTTACAGGCTTTTCCCTCCTTCTTTCTCACTGGGGAATCAGCCAGGCACAGGATCCCACAGACAGAATCTACTGTTACCAGAGCTGATGTAGACAGGATGTATAAGCTGGGAGTCCATGACAGCCTAGAGCAAAGTTGCTTATTTAGCTGGGGATCTACAATGTCCATTTTTATTTTCTGTTGAAGCAGTTTTGGTGTCAGTAGTCAAAGCTAGCCAGCTGGGCACATGAGACTGGTCTTTAGCCAAGTGGGTGGGTAATATATGAAATTAGAAGTATGGGAAGAAGACTCAAACAAGCAAACATGGTCTGGCCCAGAGTCACTACAATGTTCTGTTGTCCTGGGCCAGAGCCGAATGACAGCTACAGCTGCACACAATTACTTGGGCATGAACTCTGAACAGGAGAAGAGCCAGAAGATAATGTAGGTAGGTAATGAGAGACCTAGCACAATGTGTAGGACCGTCTTTGCTGGCACCTATTTCTTACTCAAACACCCACATATCTCTTCAATATTTAAGACATCTACTTCATGAGCACAGTTTCCCCAGTCCATGTCTCATACACTTTCTCAACAAAAAGCCTGTTTCATTTCCATTAGCTCCCATGGCAGAACAAAAGCCGTCTGCAAACAGTGTATACTGAGATCCAGTCCGGTTCAGCAATTCTGGGAACAAAATGTACTCTAAAACTTGTACGGCTTTTATTTTGCACTCTCTGCAACATCTGCTTTCCAAAATTATTTATTTTAAAGTCTTTGTGCTTTTTTTTTCCCCCTTCACAGACTTTAAGCTCTATTTCTGTACTTAAAATCCCAGAACCTTTGGTGTTAGAATAAGGAAGCTAACTTATTTGGGGAATTAAAAGACTGTAGGAATTGTACTATAAGAACCTGTAGGACAAAAGGGACTGGAGGGAAAAGTAAGAAAGATAAAAAATCTGTGGGGAAAAAAAAAAAAAAAAGTTATATCATTGTATATAACTGCTGCAACTCACAGCTGAGGTATTGTTTCTATGGAATGAAACTGAGCTGCTGCATAAAAGCATGTGGATATTTGAAAAACAAATCTTGTAAGGACAAGGCTGAAGGAGCACATAAGAAAGCAAACCTGATGCTGTATCTTTCATGCTGTCTGTAGAGATGGGTTTCTGAAGTGATTTTTTCCCAGAGCCAAAACACAGAGCATCTAGATCGTTCATCATAAAAGTCCACTCGAGAAAGAACTGGTGTTTACATATAATGGATGATTATTATCCATCCCATGGGATGTGCACCTGGAGGATCTAAGTCTGAATGACTAGGACCCAGGCATGAGCTCAGGAGTGAGATTTTTTTTACAGTCGTCAATAGATTGTCAAATACATGTGATTTATGGCTTCGAAGGTCCTACTCTTCTTGCACTCTTATCTGTGAAAACTGTACAGACCAATCTGACACCAGGTTCTTTCATCTTCACCCTTCAGATGGGCAAGACATTTAATATTATGGTGAGCAATAATCTCAGAATCAGTGAAAAATAATTGAAGAATTACTTAGCATGAAAACAGAAAAGTGTCTTGATAACAGTGGATTATTACCCCAATTTTGAAGTGAAAATTAAGAAAAGAGTTTTGAATTTCTTGATGACCCTTTTCCATTGGTTGACACATCAGTTGAAATGCCACTTACAGGACAAGTTCAACACAAATCTCCATGAGAAATCTCCTCCATCTTGGAGTCCTCTCTCCATCATGGGTTCTTCCACATTTACAGAACATCCTTCTAGCACCAGCTCTCACTCTTCTCAAGGGCACTAAAAGAGGAACAGCACAATGACAAATCTTAAGCCCTTCCCACCCTAAATGCATGTGTTTCTTGCTGCTGAATGATATTCACTGTGATGGCAAGTCAAAAGTAGTTAAATACTTGAAATATCTTTTTTTATTTCTTAATGGTTCCATGCCAAAAATGTGAACAGGGCTTTTAGAAACAAAAGCAAGGTTTAATTGAAGAATTCACTAAAATGAATGAAAATTGGCTACAATGAGCAACAATTACCTTTTCTGAAAAATAAGATTCACCGTAAGATGGAATAGAAATAAAAACCTCTACAGTGCATTCTCATGGGTTCTTTTCTCTACATTTGCACTGAACATATGATTTTCAGTGATTCAGTGGGCCCCACAAATTCAACAAATCACAACACTGTTGAGGTTGGAAGCAAACTCTTAAAATCATCTTGTACTACCTGATCATCTTGTACTTCTCTGATCAAGAAGGGACACTTAGGGCAGGTCAACCAGGACCAGGTCCAGATGGCTTTTAAGTATCACCAAGGAGGGAGACCACCACCTCTCTGGGCAACCTGCACCAGTGCTCTGTCACCTCTACAGTAAAGAAGTGCATCCTGGTGGAGCCTGCTGCATTCCTGTTCGTGACCATTGTCGCTTGTCCTGTCACTGGGCAGGCTGCCTCCATCTTCACTGCACCCTCCTTCCACATATTTACATACTTTGAAAATATCCTTCCAGAACTTTCTCTTTAGAACAGTCCCAATTCTCTCAGCCTATCCTCATATGAGAGTTATTCTAGCCCCTTGATGGCCCTTTGTTGGACTCTCTTTGCTATGTATGTGTTTCACTTGCAATGAGAAGTCCGGAAGTGGACATGGTACTCCAGGTGTAGCCTCACCAGGGCTAAGTTAAGGAAAAGGATCACCTCCCTCAACTTGCTGGCAACGTTCTCCCAATGCAACTCAGGAAACCATTATCAAGGGCACATTGCTGACTAATTAGTTCAACCTGATGTCCACCAAGACCCCCATATCCTTTTCTGCAAAGCTGCTTTCCAGTTGGTTTTCCCCTAGCATGTACTAGTGCCTGGGGTTGTTCCTCCACAGGTGTAGGACTTTGCAATTCTCCTTGTTGAACTTCATGAGGTTCTTCTCAACCTCATTAGAGTTTCCACCCAACTCTCCAGGCTGTTGAGGTTCTTCTGACTGGCAGCACAACCCTCTAGCTTATCAGCCACTGCCTCAGTTTTGTGTCACCTGCAAATTTGTTGAGGGTACATTCTGCCACATCATCCACATCACCTTCTAAGAACAAGACTAGGCCCAGTATTGACCCCTGGGATAAACCACTAGTTACTGGCCTCCAGCTAGATTTTGTTTCCCTGATCACCACACTCTGAACCTGGTTGTTCAGTCAGTTTTCAATCCACCTGAATGTCTTCTCATCCCATCCATACATTAATATTTTGTCTATGAGTGTCTAACAGGTGACAATGTCAAAGACCCTACAGAAAAAAAAGCAAACACCTATTGCTCTGCTCTCATCTACTACTCCAGTCATTTCATCATAGAAATTTATCAAGTTGGTCAAGTGTGATTTCCCCTTAATGCAGTACATCACTTCTTCAGAAACTCTTCTTTTCCATTACTGAAATTTTTTCCCTGCTCTTCTCGCGGGCCATTCCACTTTCTCAATTTTCCTAACTTGACTGCAAAAATAAAGGGCTACACTTGAAGAAGTGATCTCTCTTTCCAGACCACAACTGCAATGTCACAGCAAACAGGTAGCCTTTCTGCTGCCCAACCACTCCATTTCTAACGGAACATAACAGGAATAGTATACAGTAAGTGATACCTGTCATATATATGATTGAGGTTCTAGCTGCCAGTCCAGCAAACATAGTAAATGCATATATATTTATCTACATAATCATGATATGCAGGAAACCTTTCTACTCTTTCTCTTGCCGCTATGTCAGTTGCCCAAGCAGATGTCTACAATGGTGTGTATGTCTTACAAGGAAATGTGCAGGCTGGTTCAGCAAGACGTTTTAGTGAGATCATCTCCAAAAACGGTGGCTGATTTTGGAAATAGAAGCTGAACTCAGGTTGGCATCCCACATCCAAATAGGCAAGTGGATACACTGCATGCTGCAATCTCCAGGCACTTAATCCTGATCTCTTGTCAGTACAGAATAGCAGTTTTGTGGTCTTACTAACTGAAAAGTGCATTTCTGTGCCTTTAACTGGATCACATCTGTGTAGGTCCAGCATCAATGCCTGCCTAATGTGTTCTGAAATATACTGCTGTACATGCAAACCACGTTTTCATCCTCCATAACCTCTCTGAGTCAAATTCTCAGCTCTCATGTCACCTCACACATATCATGACAGTGTTTTCAACACTGAAATAAAAAGGTTATTTATTTATTTGTTTGTTTGTTTTCCTACTATCTGCAAAATTTTAGGCTCCATTTAAATTCTTGATTTGCTGTCTTTTTAATTTTGTCTCCTTTGCATCTTTCCTCATGTAGAAGACGTCTAAGGCAACACTCTTCCACTGGAAGTTATCCTTTACCTGCTGCTAGTTTTCTGCCTCTTGGGCTTCTGAAACTACTGCCTAGGTCAATCCTATCCTGCCACATAAGTTTGACAGCTAACAAACTGTTAACACTGTTGTCAGTGATCAAAAACAGAAAGGCTTTTTCACCCCTCAGCTGCAAGCCCTTTTTCCTACTCACAACAGACAGCCCCAAACAGATTTTGCAAACAAAAAATTGCAGCCAAACCACAGATCTGACAAACGGCAATCAAACAAACCATTATTCAACAGATAGACAAACAAATTAATTTACTCCCAAGGAACAAATACTTACTTTTCCATACCAACAGTCACACAGGCATGCGGTGCCTCATACACTCTGCACTCTGACTTTGCTGAGAAAGAGGAAATATAGATTAAAAAAGTCCTTCTTCAAACTATGAAGCCCTAAAGATATATGTGGCTTTTCTACCCCTACCCCAGTGAGGACTTAATTAAGCCTTGAAAGAGAAATAGCTTAATATTCTTTTTCTGCTCACAAATTTCCTGAGCAATAACAAGTTAAAGTTTGGGAGGGTATGTGGTAAAAGATTCTTGTAATTCCTATCTGGTTGTCTACTTTCTACTTCTCTCAGCTGCTAATCCAGATGGGACCAGTGTTGGTGCTAGATCCCAGCAGGACAGGAACAGCCCCTTCCCATCTGTTGTGCTTTAAACCTGCAGACATCTCAACACCACACAGCTGCTCACTTACCCTCCCCAGGTGGGATGGCAGAGAGAATTGAAAAGGTAGAAATGCAGGAACTTATGGGCTGAGACAAAGGCAGTTTACTCAGTAAAGCAAAAGCTGGGTGTGCAATAAAACAAAACCAGGAATTCATTCTGAACTTCCCATCAGCAGCCAGGTGTTCAGGCACTTCCAGGAAAGCAGGGCTCATCACGCATAACGGTTTCTTGGGAAGACAAAAGCCATCATTCTGAATGTCCTTCCCCTTCTTCTTCTTTACCCTAGCTTTTATTGCTGAGCATGATGCCATATGGCATGGGACATCGGTCTGGGCCAGTTGTCCAGGCTGGGTCCCCTCCAGCTCCTGGTGCACCCCCAGGCTCCTCACTGGAAGGGCAGCACAAGGAGCTGGAAAGCCCTTAGTTCTGTGTGAGTACTGCTCTGCAACAACTAAAACATTAGTGTGCTGTCAGCACCTTTTTTTTCATCAAAAAACTGCATTGTGTGAGACACTACAATGAAAATTAACTCTGTCCCAAGCCAAAAACATGACACTAGTGTAGCTGCTAGCTTTAGGGAAAAGATTCTCTTCCATGAAGCAGCGATGTGGCTTCAAATCATTTTAGGGAGCAGATGAACCTGTGGTCAAGTCTCCTGATGGCAGGTGAATGTTGTAACATAGAGCTATATAGAAATAATAAGTTACAAACTCAACCCTTCCTCTTCTGACAGAAGTTGCTTTGACCCTAACTCATTCCTTAAATACAGGGTTTATCAGTTCAATTGACCATCAATCATATATAACACAAAATCTCTCCCTGTGGCAAAGGTAAATTGCTTAAATCTTGGCAAGGGATTACATGGAACATTTCCTGTTGGCTTGCCTAGGTTACTGTCTGGTCAGATTTCTGGCATTCGCCTCTTTCCATATGCTGTATGGACAGCCAATATATCTAATATATTCATTGTGAACTCCCAAGAGAGTTCACAGACAGGAGCCTAGAAGCTGTACACTGCCATACCAGGGAACATAAACATTGCATGACACGCTGAAGTATGTTACAGATTATCAGAAACATGATAGCTGTGTTTCTGGGGTGCTCTATGCAGGCTAATCTGCCCAGTTCTGCAGAATTCGGATTGCTTGTGGTAGCCAAGATGCAATGTGCAATACAGATGTATCCTGATCACAAGGCTGAAGCATTTAGCCCAAATGTCTGTAATTTTCATTGAAGTGAAATATATGTTGGCAGTATCTCTGATAGTCAAGTCACATTTAAAATGTTTAAATATGGATTTAGACATGTAGTATTTTAGCTTATCTTTAATAATAATAATAATAATAAATCCTCTGGTAAACTTATTATTAACTCAAAATTAAATAATCTGGATGAATCAGGAAACCAAAGTTTTCCACATCACCCTCTGCTTTATTACTTTTGTTTGACAGATAACATCAATTAGCAGACAAGCATAGACATGGCCCAACTTATTAATAATAACTGGACCAGATGAGTGTCCTACTTAAGAGACTGCAAAGGAGAAAATGAGACTTTGGCATAATTTTTAAGTCATAAACATCAGAGATATGTTGGATAAAATATTAGCTATGGAACAGAAAGGGAGAGCACAAACAAAGACTTATATTTCAAGTCTATATTTCAACAATAGATCATCATAATTTATTCACATAGAAATCTGCAACTGAAAGGTTAAACTTTTCATCTCAACATTAAAAGAAAACTAATGGAAACTGAAAATAGAACTGAATGCTATAAAAGATGTGACACAGAGAAGATAACTGTGGTTTGTTTGTTTTCCATTACTAATAAGTTTTTGGAGAGCTTCGAATTACCTTTCTTACATGTATAGACATCAATTCAAATTTTAGTAAGTAGATGCCTGTTTAGCTGTATCAAGATACATAAAACACCAACAATATAACAAGATATCTTATACCTTGATAATGAGATATCTGGAAATAAGGTTTCTCTCTATCGTTGTGTCTGTTGAAGTGCTAAGTATTCTCCATCACTTCAAAAAATTGATTAAAGCTGAACACTACTGAAGGAACTGTTTGGCTCAGTAAAAAAATTAAGACCTTTATTGTCTCAAAAATCACTTATTTGTATCACTTTTTAATCCAGAAACCAATTTTATTGTTTCTTCCAATATCATTCCTAGCTCTAAATAGTTTTTGGTAGTGCAGGAGAAATAATTCATAAATAAACATAAATTCAATGCTTCAGGTAGTTAGCACTATGTAGCAAGCAATGACTATTCATTACTTAGGGCTTCTGATTTGTTTTCCCTACTTCTGTTCAGCTGGTCTTCAAAAATCTCTGTTCTTAAAACCAGAAAATTTTCTGGCACCATTCTTGGTGCTTTTTCTATTGTTTCTTTCCACATATCTCATGTATCTGAAAAAGGAATTTTATGATGAATTAGTGTTTCTTTATGAAAGTTTTTATTTATTTATTTATTTATTTATTTATTTATTTATTTTTGTGGGCATAATCCTTAAATAAAGAGCCTACAAATTGGAAAGATGGGTGAGAAATAAAAAGGTAGAGAATACATCTAAATTATTATAGTTTCAGCATTGACTGCATGTAGTGATATGTTAAAATGTTGGGATGGGGGTAAGGGGTTAAATGAAACAAGACCAAGCACAAATCTTGACTCTGCTTGAGTCTTAATCATGTTTTCTAAATGAGCACATGTTGATGGGTATGACAATTTAGTGTTGACGGATGCAACATAATGCACACTGAAGAAAAATACTTGAACTAAGTACAGATGACTGACTTAATTATGTCAACTCAGGAGATGAACGTAGATATTCAGGCAGCACCTTTGTCAATGTGGAGAAGAAACTAAACATAGAGCTGAGCTGACAAAATGTTAAAAAGGCAACATTGGAGAATGATAAAAAAGTTACTCCAGCTTTCAGAAGTTGGCTGTTTTACCTTGCTAATGAGGTGTACTGAACAAGTCACACCACCAAAAAAAAAGATACTGCAAAAGTTCACAGTTCTGAGAAAGACTGAGGGCCATGAAAAATTTGTGCGAAGAGAGAGTGAAGAGGTTGGAGTTGTTGACTTTAGAAAGAAGGCATATAAAATGAGACATGATAAAAACATGAAATGGAATTTATGTAATATAGTCTCAGTCTCATAATATAAAAACAATTATATATCTGGAACAATGTCAGATTTTTGTCAAAACTCAAAGTTATTGGCTGAAGAAAGAAGTATTGGGGTTGGCAGAAAAGGTTTTGGTTTAGGAGTTTTGGCAAAAAAAAAATGATGGGTGTTATGAAAAGAGACTGAAAAGAGACACTTTCAGTACGAAAAATTTTCTTAGAAAATTCCGTTTTCTGCTAAAATAATTTTGATAGAAAACATTTGATGATCCCTAATTTTGTTACAGAGGGTGTGATGCAGGTATTTGACACATCATCTGATCAAGGTTAGAAATTTCACACAAGGTACAAGGTATTTTGTTGGTGCTCAGGAAATATTTGTTGTAAGCATTTTTTTCTGCAAAGATACTTCCTTTATTTTGACAGATTTTTCTCTGAATTGTAGTTAACTTGATTCTGTTGATCTGCAAGGAACACTGTGAAATCATATATTCAAGAACTCTATGTTCTTTAAAAAAATAAAAATTAAAAAAAAAAAATAAAAGAGTGAAAAATCTCAATCAACTCTTAATTTTACGAATGACTAAGTAGTTTAACAAGACAGATTTTTGTGTGTTCTGGTTTTTGTCAAAAAAGAGAGCTGCAGGAGGTCTCCTGTCTTGTCTTAAAGGGAAAAAAAATAATCTTTGTGCTTGCAATTTAAGTACTGAAAATGAAGTTATGCAGCCATATCCATACTTGTTTCTAGTTTAGAAGATGTCAGAAATGCCTACAGCAAAGTATGGGTGCACTCATATTTATGTACACAAATTAAGTGATAACGAATTTGCTTTTAATGTAATTTGTAATGTTAAGTTTGCAGTCAGCCAAGGCAGCAATCTGTTTCTCTGCAAGATAAAGCATGCCAGTTCTCACATGATCTTTTTTTTTTTTTTTTTTAATGTGAAAATGCATATTTAGATAGCAAAATATGTTTTTTGCACTGTAGCTGCTGCATAATCTTTTTCAACAAGAAACAAATACTCCATCATTTTTTGCAGAATCTTGGCAGAGAGGAGGGTGTCTGCTACTAGTGCTTCCTTGTTTTCTTGGGCATTGTGAAAAAGATCTTATAGTACAGCTTTGAATCCAGATGTTTCCTTTCCGTGATGAGTTGACATACCAAGCCAGAATCTCATCTTGCTTCTTCTGAGTGTAAATCCGGAATGTTTCTGCAGCAGTCAAGGAAAGAACTGAGTACAATTTTTGTGTAGAAATGTGCCAAGACTCCTACTGAAACTTTGAACATCCACTAAGAGTTAAAATATTTTTTAAATGTTCTGATTATAAATGACTGGCAAAAACAGACCACAGCAGACTTAGTCAACCTTTTAGAACAGCTTCAGTACCTGATAGGTCAACAAGTGGAGAACAGGATATTCCTGAAAGTGGAAGATGGAATGAAAGGAAGAAGAAAAGGGAGTGAAGATCTGGTCAGTGTTATGAATGCTACAGATCTTCGTTATTGGAGAATTCAACAAAGTGCGAAGTTTTTCTGCTTAATGTTGGGCACAGTTTTACTGTCTTAATAATACTGAATTGGGATGAAAGAAGATAAAATGCCTGTCTCCCCTTTCTTTTATCGTCATAAAGAATTTTGGCAGTAAAACAGTGGAGACACAGGTAGCAACACTCATGTATTTATTTAGAGGTGCTGGGCCAGAATACTTGTTAATGAAAGTTAGCAGACTCGAGGTACAGTTTGCACAATCTCAAAGGAAAAATTCTGCTGTCAGTGGTTTCTCTTCTTTCTTTTTCTTGACTG